TCGGTTATCCATCGTCTCGCTGTCGTCATTGGGATGTCATTTGCCGTTGGGTATTCAGCGGTGGCATATCGCATGCCCCATACGACGGCATGTGCCGCAAATAACTACTGCACTTTCACTTTTCATTTGTCTGACTGTCAAACTCCTGGCCTAGACATTCACAAGGCTTAAGCAGCAGAAGTTCAGTCTAACCCTGTATCCGTACGAATTCACCCCGAACACTAAAGTGTAAGACCCTCGTCTGTCCTACAGTAGTAAGCCACTTGCATGCATGCCTGCCTGCCAGGTCGTGCGTGCTTCTGGAACCTGATCCGGCGCATGCTAGTGCCGCGAGGTTTGAAAACGAAGACACGAGCTGCATCGAGTTTGGCTTTTTGAGCTTGCAGTTTAATGTGTGTCTGTTTTGTTCTGGGTTGCTGCATGGTTTTGGGGTTTTTGTAGGCTCCAAGGGGTTTAGAGCAGCGTGTTCACGCATAACAGTCCGACCCGTTGAGTGACATGTTATACATTCGACAAAGATGGATGTATGTATGTATGTATGTATTTATATATATATATACATACATATCTCTATACATCTATTATACACACATACACACTATCTGCTTATACGTAGCAGCATTTTGGCAGCATCCCTTGCTAAACCGTGTGATTCTTCAGCAACGAGGGGTCATGCTGAGCTGGATTGATCTTCAAATCTGCCTCTCGCACACAACCATTGAATATGCACCCGAAACCTCGGAGTCGATCCTTGAATCGATCGAACTGTCTACCTGTCGCTAAATCGAGAGAGTTTGAATGTCTCGGACGAAACCAAACTCCTGGATTGCCATCATCAGGCGAGTGCAGCCAGCCACTGTTCCTGCAGATGACTAGACGCCAAGATGAAACACTCACTTGATACGCTACTGCGAGCATTTATCACACTTGGCTCGCATCGCATCGCTTTATGCATAAGCCCATGAGGGCCCAGCAGAAGCACCCTCCGCGATGCCAGTCTCCCGTGGGAGCGGGGGCTTGCCTAGGCCTCCGCATAGGATGGCATAGGTCTGAATGCCCTGGACGACCAGAGAACGTAATCTGCATCGGTCTGTTCCAATGTCGCGCTCTGTTTCCGCCCTTCGCGATGGGCACATGTCCCCCCTGGACTTGTTGATCGCGTCCATGGGTGACTTGCCCTTCACTCGGCAGTCGGGTCGCAAACGATTCCGAACTAACTCTCTCTCTCTCTCTCTCTCTCTCTCTCTCTCTCTCTTGGATGCCAGCCATTTCGCACACTTGCCGGCGTGACCAGCGGCTATGAGCACATGTTGTTATTGTAGTTGTTTTGTTGCTTGGTTGGTGGGCTGTTTGGCGGTTTGGGTGGCGCTGCTGTCGGTGCTGTTGCTACTTTTGCTTGATTGGTGATTGGACGGGTAGCTCGCGGTGACTGTAGAGTCTGTTTCGCATCCACGGCCCAGCCGTTTCCAAGCAGTTTGAATCGCGAAGTTGGGTGGCCGACATATAATAAATGCGTCTCTCCAAGTCTGTGTCTCTTGGAGGTTAGGGCTTAGGTAGAGTATAGTTTCGGGCATCCGTGTGGCACAGGTCCACAGCACAAGCGGTCGGTTCTTTACATATATTGTGAAACCCAGGTGTAAAAGGGTGTGACTCGTCTAGGAGTCTCCATTTCTGCAAGCGAACTTCTCAGCCAAGCAGGGGAGGCTGACGTCAGGCTTGGGTTCCAAGTTCCTGTGAGTGCAATGTTTACCGAGTTTACCGTTGCCTTAGTAGTCCTAAGGCCCCAAGTTTCGTGAGTGCAGTTCTTTTCTTAAGATGATCGGACCTGACGGGCTGACTGGTCATGTTTCTTGAAACGCAGCTGGGCTTCAGGATGTTATCTTTGGATGACTCTTGTTACCGATCATTCAGCTGCAGCTGTAGTTCTGAGGCTCTGGTTGGGATGTGTTCCAAGACATTACAAGTTTCCACGATCGTTTGAGGGTGCGAACAGGTCACGGTTTAATGCTTATTGGAAGCTCATCCCTTGCACATTCCAGCCACTGGTGCAGTCTAGTCGGTATTTGACAAGGAGAGGAACTTGCGATCCTCGGGAACCAAATTCAAAGCTTGCTCCCGGGGGCAGCTCCATTGTTGGGAAGTAGCAGTTCTGAGCAGCGCCATGGCGGAAGAGCTATGGGATGACGCTGATGCACAGGTGGGAGTGCCATTGATTTTAGGGTTTAGGGGGTTTTTGGGGTTTAGGGTTTAGATGAGTGCGCTGCGTAGAAAGCTAGACAGCTCTGGGCGAGTCATTTGCATTCCACCGCCCCGTCAGCTGAGGTTTTGGGACAGAATCTTGCATAATTAAGTTAATTGCGACGGACCGAGCTTTGAGATTAAGATAGGTTTTCTGGGTTCATGTCGGTCGGTTTCAAGCCAGACAAGCTCCCTCTAAGTAGTACGCTGTTTGTTTACCTGAGCCCTAGAGATGTCTGGCTTGGTCCGTTCAGCGCCAGCAGGGCTTGCTATGCCAAGCCGCCTCCCGATGCAAGTTTTTGTTGTTGCCTGCGGTTTCTGTTGCAATAGCTGGTACTTTAGGGCTAGGCTGGGGGAGAGGTGCCGTATTCACGTAGCGGATGGCTGACCTGCACGGGCCAAAGTCAAAGCTACAATTGCGTCATCGTTTGCTCTAGTTTGTGTTTGCAGCAGGAGCTTGTTTGCTGTGCACCTACTGATTCAACAGGCTGTTGCTCGAAACTGCAGCAGTTTTCAAAAGAGGTTTCTTGCGGGAGGCATATCGCACATGATATTGGGCCCCAAACCCCAAAACCCTCCCTTTATCCACCCTAAACCCTCAACCCACAACGGCCCACAACCCTAAACCCTGAACCTATTTGGAGGTTCATGGGTAGTTATAAGTGGGGTTATAAGTCCCTTAAAGAATATGGGTTATAACTATAGCTGCCCTACTGACAACCCCACTTATAACTACCGCTAAACCCTAAACCCTGAAAGCCCTATAGAACCCTTTAAAGGAGCCCTTAAAGGAGCCCCATATAACCCCACGTATAACTACCCATGAACCTCCCAAGTACCAGCGCAGGATGACCAAGACGGCATTCTTGCGGAAGACGCGGGGCCGACGATGTGCATCCACCATCCCGACGCAAAGGCGAGGGCCGCGTTTGCTGTTTCGGGTTTAGGGTTTATAGGGGTGTTTAGAGGGTTCGGGCTTGGGTTTAGCGAAACTGGGCGCAGAGTTCTGCGCAAGATGGTGAGGGTGGTTGTAAGAAAGCTTGGCGATGGTGGCAGCATTGGGGCCAAGCCTCAGCCGACAGCTTGACAAGGTTCAATGGGCCGGCCCATACTGCGATGCGTCTTGGCCGGAGTGGTGGTGTCCTCGCCTTGAGCTTGAAGGGCAGTGGTGGCTTTCGAGGTACCGTACATGCGGGTTTCAGATGAGATAATTCATTGAAGAGACAAAAAGAATGCCAGTGGCTGGAGTTGCAGCGCATGGATGGTTTGGAAAGTGGACATGCGATTTTGCCGTGCTTCTGGTGTATTTTGAGTTTCCCGAATTGCATTCGCTAGAGGTTCTTAGGTTGAGCAGGTGTTCTTTCCTCGGATCGGGTTCGGTTCTTCGATCATATGCATGCACTTGTGTTGTGGGAGTCACTAAGCAACGAAATCCGAGGCGCAACTATGATCACGGCTTGCATGCCGAGTTAACTGCTAGCAGGTGCAGCAGTAGGGGAAGCGGGTAGAGTCGTTCACCAAAGAGATAACTTCAAATCAGCAAAGATCCAGGACTGTCATTGGGCACTCCAAGTGATGGAGGAGCAGCTGACAGCGCAGCCGAAATCAGAGAGAGGAACAAGGCTGGCAGAAGATGGCAGAGCAAGATGTTTTGCAGAAGGGATGACTGCGAAAGCTTAGGTTGCGCCTCTCCGTCCCACACGTCTAGTCTAGGATCCAGGCTTGTTATTAACTTGACGATGGGTGTCCGTGTAGTGTAGCAGGCTGCCAAGGTAATTCATGAAAAGGCTCGCCCAAAATCACAGCACCATCGGCGTTTTGATTGCGTTGCGCCTGACATTGAGGTACTTCTATGTCTGTCCCAGTGGTCACGGGTTCACTTCGCGTGCCAGTGGCGCGGACAGAATCTGCCCCAGATGCAAGGACCAACATGCCAAGAACAGCGTGGGATTGGACGGAACGGAAGTTGAGTGGCCTACATTGACAGAGATCGGACCTACCGACCTTAGGATTGCGGAGATGCCGCGGGCTCGCGGGCTGGTATGTCGAGTTGACCCCAATGCTTTGGATCTTCTCACGTGCTACCACTCCCTGACAGCTTCGCTGTATGAGAAGAGCATCCTCTGCCTCCTTCTCGTTGCCCGGGACTTGTTGGAGGAACTGAACGAAGGCAGGTGCACGTTGAGCACCAAGCTTGGGCAGGTGTGGCGCAGACCTGGTCCAGAGCGCGACGGGCTCATCCCTGCGCTGACCCGCATTGTGCGGGCATGCGAAGTGGTGCTGCAACTTACCGACGGTCACGGCATCGATGTGGTCTATAAGAAGCAAGACCATCCTTTCTCGCAGGCCCCTTTTGAAGCAAGTAGAGGCAGCTTTCTGCACAGTGTGGCCTTCCGCGGCAGTCGATGCTTGAACGTTCTGCGCACAGTCGTTCTATGTCGTTCTGAGTTTTTTTGTTCATATAGATAACTTAGGCTTATGGCGCAGTAGCCCACCTTCGGATCATCCTCTCTGCCTTGTCGAGTTCGTCTCAGGATTCCGCCGGCTCCATTGCGCTGTCGAGACGAAGGGGGATCGGAGACACCTAGCAAAAGACTGCCATGAGAATGGCATCAGAGGACTCCATGTAGAGAAGGAAAATCATTTGGTCTTCATAGTGACTGATACTGCAGAGGCTGACATGGAGGCCATGAGCCGGTTTCCATTCGGTGGCATCGTGGAGCAGTTGAAGCGGAAGCAGCGTGCCACGCACGATCAGCTTCACTGTCAAGCGTGCGATTACTTGGGACGGCACTGTGGAGCCTCGAAGTCAAGGGCCATCGCGCGCAGCTTCGTGAAGGGCGGGACCCTTTACTTGAAAGGCTTACCTGCCCTGGCAGACGAAGCTTTCGTGAACACTGTTATCCGCGAGGCGACGCGGGCAAAAATTGCTCAAGAATGGGTTTCTGTTGCCAACAGTTGTAGTGGCTTTTCCAGACTGCCTGAGCCATGGCGGCTCGCCTAAGATCGAAGGCTGAACGCGCCGTGAGGGAGGTGGATGGCACCATGGGCTTGCGTTGGCAAATTCAGCGTGTTGAGGATGCATGGCGTGCAGGAGAGAAGGTGGCCGTCGTCAAGTTCTTCCACGCTGAGATCTGTTCGCAATTTTGTGACAAGGCCAAGCACATCTTGAAGGAGAAGTTGCGAGCAGCGGAAAATGCAGTCCCAGGGGCCAGACTCGAGACTGGCCCCGGTTTATTGTATGCTGCGGATATCTTCCTTCAAGAAGGCAACATTCAGGACGTCCGAGATCTTCAGACGTCCGTCAGGTGGTAGCTCGGCCAGGTTCAGAGTGTCTGGGCTGGTATTCCTCCCATGATCGTGGGGACCTCCCACGCGTCCGCCTGATCTCGGCACCTCACTGGCTTCAGAGGGCCATGGATCTTCTCCCTGGTGCTTGGCAGCTTTGCCGTCTAACTTTGCCATACCAGGTCTTCCAACTCCTGGACAGGAGCTTCTGTCCTGACTCGCCGGAGCGCTGGGTGGAAGATATTCACGGTGCTATGCACACCAGGCATGGCCTGTGCTTTTGTAGCTGTTTTGTTTCTATGGTAGCCGCTGCAGTTAGGAGGGGCTGAGAGACGAGCGTTCATTTGTTCACGCATTTGTTTGCTTGAATAGGTTCGGGTGTGTGTCTGACCTGTCCTGTTCTGTCCGGTCCGGTCCGGTCCGGTCCGGTCCTGTCCGTCAGTCTGTCTGTCTGCCTGTCTCTGTGTGTGTGTGTGTTGGTTGCTGCCGCGTAGGGCCGTCGACACGGCACATGCGACTCACTTCTGTCGCAGTGTATTTTAGTCTGCTTTGTCGCATGTGCATCATTGGATTCCATTGTTCGAGCTCTCTTACAGCACATGATGTGCAGGCGCGTCACTACAGTGGAGGGTGCCGCAAGCCTTTTCGAGCAGAATGCGCACGGATTGCACAGAATGGGAATATTTCCATATTTTTCGGGCACACCGTACAAGAACGAAGAGTTTTACAAAGAGTTGGAGGTCCAACAGACCACCTTGTCGCGGCCAAGCACCGGACCTCTCAACTTCTCATCACTTGTATGAGTCATGCTAGCACATGAAGTTGATCACCCAAAAGTGTTCGTGATCGCATCCTGTAGTTAAACCATCGATGCTTGCAGGTCGAGTATACAGGTGTCGTGCGAGTGTTCAGCATAACTCTTGCTGGACATTTTCAGGACTAGTTACTGTAGCTATCAGGGATTATTTTCGTGAAGTAGGCCGCTGTTCCTCACGATTGTTCCTCTTTGTCACCTTGATTTGCGTGCGTCTATACCCGTAATCAGTAACATGGCAGATCTGTGGATTCCAAACCGGTGCAGACCAAGCCGCCGAGAGCGCTTGCCACTAGTGCATGCAGAGCTTGCAGATCTGACAGGAATGCTCGTTACGTTGGGCATCGGAGAGGGGCCGGGAAACCTGTGCTCAGGTTGAGACATGTGCATCTCTTCGGCAAGCCGACCTCCGCGATCAGGGACCGAACTGCGGTACGGGCATGGGTCGAGCTGGATCGGGTCTCCGACCTCGGTGTTGATGGTGACAGGCCCGGGAGTGTTTCAACCGGACTGGACCGGCTGCAATCCCGCCTCTAGATCGTAGGAAGTAGCAGCGAGTGATCTTGCTCAAGGCGTGGCGACGAAATTGACTTTGAGTTTTCATCTGAGGAGGCAGGGAGCTACGCACTTTTTTTTGTCACATGGGGGCCGTTCTGATGATGGTCATGATACTGAAGATGATCATGGAGACCGGAATCCAGACAAAGATGTAGATCATGCTGGCGAGGAGATTTTGAATCTTGTGCCTAGTCATGTTGATGACGATGATTATGACTCTTATGGGGAGGAACCTACTGCTGCTGCCTCCCTCTGCTGATGTCCATGTTAATGTTTGGTAGGAGCATGGTCATTGTGGTGTTCAAACTATTGTCTATCTTGTGTTGGAAGCTTTGACGCTTGTTCTTGATTATGTCTGTGTGGTCACCATGCTACGGTTGGGAGCAGTCCGGATACCTCGTTTTCCTTCCCAAAGTCATAGTGGTGCCAACTGGGCCGAATGGTGCTGTGTGTGACTTACGGCAGCTGTCGCAGTGATATTCGGTGGGAAGCTGTGGTTGTTGAATCGATTGGCTGTGATGTCAACTCTTATCCTGTTTCTATTCAGCGATTTGGTGTGGTGCTTGTTGCCGGGGCCGTCGATGAAGATGATGTCCAGGATGCAGACCAGGACGAACATGAGGATGTTCAGGCTGACGACTGTGCGAATCCTCGTGGTGGTCAACGATGGGGCCGAGGATGCGGCGGAGGAGGAGGAAGACGAAGAGAATGGTGACCATGGTGATAGTGATGAGGAGGTTTTTGATGATGGTGGTGATGATCATGATGACGATGGTGATATTGCTAGTCTTAGATTAATGACGCGGAAGCAGCATAATTGACAGTAGTCGCAAGTTCGTACAGTGGGTTGGTGTAACGTTGATCATTCTTGATATGAGCTTCACGAGTTGTACTTTTCACGGCTCAAGCGGTTCTGAAAGGTGGCTGGGACGTAATATGTGACGCAATGTTAGAGCTTCAGTCTTTCTTGTCGGCGCGACGGTCCTGCCAAACTTGCTGACAATGACTGTTTGTCCGCGAGCCCGTTGAATGAAAGTGCTTGGTGTGACGCCGAATTCAGTCCTTATGTCACATCTGTCTTATATAACTACGATGGCCAGCTGACTGTGACCCTGCCCAGGAGACGGGTGAAAGCACGAGCGCCACGGGGCATTCAGCCCCAGGTTCACCGGGAACTCCCGAGACCCCGCTGTTCCCGGAGATGCCCGATGCTGTTGAGCAAAGTGGCAAGGCCAGTCGTGCTGCTGCTGTGGTATGCTCGGGAAGAGGTGCCCGAAATGACTGACAGTAGCTGCAGGTCTATGCGGAGGTCGTGCACAACTTTGATGCAGCGCAGGAAGGATTCGACAGAGACACGGTGGACGCAGCTTGCCAAAAGCTGCATGAAACGGGGATGTGGGGTCTGTGAAACGTGGCTGCTTCGTTTAGGCTTTGTCTACCCAACGGACGCTTTTTGACATGAAGAGCTTTCGCCGTTGTAGCAGACGACTTTCTCCCTTCATCGTTTTGCATGGCTGGTTTCTGTTCCGCTTTTGTTGCAAAAGCGGAGTCTGCACGCCATGCATTCCGGCAGCCCCATCGGCACCTGCCCAGTGGCCGTGAATCAAGCAAGGGCACCCAACCACAGGAGAGAGATTCAGTGAGAGAGTGCAACCACAAAGAAACCGAAAGAGAACCCATAGAGCACGACAACGGTAATGCAGAGAGAAACTAACAACAGCAAGCAGTGATAAGAAAGGCGGTACAGCAGAGAAATTGCAAATCATATGTTTGACATTTTAGCTTACAGTATCTTTGTCAGGGAGAAACGAAACGGCGAAGAGAGAAAAGAGACAGCAAGAGGAAGATGACAGAAGGAGAGCGATACACGCGAAGCAGACAGAAGCGGACAAGAATGGGGCCAGTCAGAGACGACAGCGACGCAGAGGTTGGGAGGACAGGACAGAAGTATTTCAACACTTCGAAAGCTAAGGGTTGTAAGTTTGGGGCTCAGGCGTACTTAGAAGCAGGCAATGGAGCTGTCCCAGTTCTTTGTAGCCTTGTGTCACTGGGTGCCCTGTTTTTGTGTGGCGGCCGTGGAACTCGGGAGACAGGGGTCAGAGAGGGTTATTGCCATTAGATCCTTTCTGAGAATACTGGCAACTCTCACCAGTCTGGCCAAAAAACGCGTCACACCAGCATACATCAGCCATGACAGAACCATCCGTGGAGTTGTATCTTAGCGCTTGCGCGTTTACGTGGATTGGGGAAACGCTGTTGTGCTTTGTGGGTGAGCTGCTTCGGGCTTTGAGTTGTCACGACTCGCAGTGGTGCTTGTACTAAAAATATACTATAATAAACTATAATATCTGTAATATACTATACTATACTATAATATACTATAATATATGTCCAAACTGCACCAAGGTCTACCTGAGCTTGCGCCGTGGTGACTGGGTATTCTGGAGCGAGGCGGATCTCAAGTTTTGCAGCATTGAGAGTCGAAAGCATGTCTCAAGTCCACTTAAACCCTAAACCCTCTCCCTAAAGCCTAAACCCCTAAACCCTAAACCCCTAAACCCTGGAGGTGGATTCCGAGCTAGACGGCGGATGGCGCAAAGTCTGGGCCAAGAGCGAAGCCGCGGAAGGCTCCAGTGAAGGCGCCAAGCAGCACTTCCCAGAAGAAACCTACCCACAGGCCCCTAAGTAGTTCCTCTTTGCGGTTTATATTTAGAATCCCATAAGGCAATCCCAAAAAGGAACTACTTAGGGGACTATGGGTAATCATGAAGGAATTATGCCTTAAGTGAAAAGGGGGCTTAGTTCAGAGACATCATGATTTGAGCTATATATTCTTTAAGGAGTACTGGGCTTTCCGGGTTCCACACCCAGGTCTGCCGCGAGGCCCCCCAACCTAACGACCTGAACCCTGGATCCCCAGGGTTTAGGGTTTAGGGTTGCCTGTGACAATCCTAAACCCTAAAACCGTAAACCCCGTCAAGCATAAATCCTGAACCACTATAAACCCTAAACCCCGTCGCACCAAAATCCTAAGCCACTCAACCCTAAGCCCCGTCAAGCCTAGATCTTAAGCCCTAAACCCCCAGGATGGTTTCCAGACAACCATCTGCGAGTCGCCGACCTCTCGGAGCAGCCCATCTCGTTGCAGGCTTTTTGGGACTACTATAGGGGATCGGTTTAGGGTTTAGGGTTTAGGGTTAAGGGACGATCATAGGGATCGGGACTACTATAGGGGATCTTAAGGGACTATCATAGGGATCCATTCCCCCATTCCCTACTAAGAGCCAGAGAGTCTTTGCAGGCTGAAGTTGCCTCCGAATGGTTCCACAGGCGCGCTGGGATTTCCAAGGGCTTTTCGAGCCTAATTTATAGGAGCCTTAATAATGTAGACTAGGGTTTGTGGGTATAGTATAACTATAAGTAGGAACCCCCAAGATAGTATAGGTAATCACTTCACTTAAGGCCCCTAGAGTAGCGGGTCAGGGTTTAGGGGTTTGGACGGTTGTCAGGGTTGGTGGAGATATTTATGCTAGAAAATGCTCCCAAGCCTTAGGTCTACTTCTTGCGGCTTTCCTTATATGTTGCAGGATGTTACGGTTTGCCCAGGTCCTACTGGCTGGCAGATGGTGGAACCTGCGACGTCTACGGCGTCGAA